ACACAGCACCCTCACGGCAGTGCCTGGATATCCTTCAGGCTTGATTGCGCCATACTTTGTCACCAGCCTTCCCTGCTTTAGGTCAATCACGGCATCTGTGCCATTGAGAAAATCAGCTCCCAACAGTGTCTGCTCTGCGTCTGGACTGATGAGGAACGCGTGCTGCACGGACTTGTCGCCTGAGCGTAACGAGTGCGTTGACAGTCCGTCAATCTTCAATCGATATCCACCAACAGCAAGTTCAAGGCAGAAAGCTGGTTGTCCAATGTTGAATCGGAACAATCTGTAAATTTCTGGAATATTGGTTTTTCTGACTCCTGTCAGTGCGCGGCATTCCAGATCTCCATATTCAACAGTAGTTACAAAGCTCGACTTCTTTCTTGCAAACAGTCCCATCTACGCCTTTGGCGCTAATGAACTGTAATGAACTCGGCGTAGCACAGTGGTTAAGGCGCAAGCAAGATGCTAAAAAATCTATGCCTTTAACCTAACCCGGGGGACCGCGAAAACTGAACTATACTGAACCAGATTAAGTCGGCAAAATCCCACCATTCAGATACTTCACAATAACTGACAGCGCGATATTCACAGTTTCTTAGCCGTGCATTCGGGTACACGAAGTGAAGTCCCACGGTTTTGCTGTCTTCCGTCTATCAAAAGAGTCGTAGACAGTAATCTAAACGCAAATTATTACTCCTGAGGAAAGTGCCGGTTTCCGATCCCTGCTTTTTACACACGCAAATCTGACTCGCTATCACCAATTCGAAGCGACCAACGCAAGTTAAATTGGAACAAAGAACCAGTCATCAAAATTATTGGGAGCAATACGCCAGTAGTAATGCCGTCCGTGCCCAACTCCCATACGAGAGCCAACAACGACAAGCTTTTGGTTAAATAGCGAGTGATCAATGCACAGAGCAACTGAGAATCACTTGGCTCTGTCGCTCTTTGTGAAGAAAGTCTACATGCTGTGCTCATAAACAGGGGCCACTAAAACCAAAAGTAAAGTGATAATTGACGAGTAAATAAGACGGATCAGACAAAATCCAACACGCTGCATATAGTTTAGTGTCACCAGTGGCAGATAGGACAGGATTGATAGGCTAACTGATTTAGTCTTCTAGCATTTGTCCGTTGGCAAATAAACTCAACATATTTTGTGGAAAGGGGGGGAAGTTCGTTGAACGGTTCTGCTTAAAATGCACCTGCTCTGCGTAGCCGCATCGGAGGTGAGACACCAATACCACACTCCATGCGCCATCAAGTTAGACCAACTACTTACACTCGAGCAGGACAAACTGTTGCATCATCGGCTCCAGGCAGGCTTATCAAAAAACCCACCTGTCCGTTGCCTCGTGACTAAGTCTTTTGAGGCAGAGGTCGGGTCAAGTTTCCCGAGCACAACCGAATATCCTTACACTGCCTCGTGGGTCAGGCTTTTGAGACAGGCTAGGGGCAGGGTCCCCGAACAAAACTATACATCCTCCCACTACCTTGTGAGTCGGACTTTCGAGTCAAAGGCACAAGGTGGAGTTCCTCAGCCAAACCCCCTTCCTCGGCCTGGGCAACCGGGAAGTATCATTTGCCCACGCAGTTCAGCGTCCACCTATGTCTCTCCCCAACCCCGTCCTACCGCACAAGCAAACGTCGCTGGGCCATTTGACCATCAGTCACCTGGCC